CTGACATTTTGTCAAAACTTAGTCTCACTGCCTTAGGACAATTTAGTTAATATAGTCATTCTAAAAGTTAAGTACCTTTCAGTGCCTTCGGGTCAGCAGTCTGGACTCCATTTAATTATAGATCATTGAAGAGCAGAAACATGGCGTAAAGCCCAATGGCTTAAAAGCTCTGATCCATGACTTCGGGTTCAGAACCATTACTGTTCTGAACCATTACCATTACGCAGCACCATTACTGTTCCATGTGTACCGGTAGTTCTCAGAGACAAGCTGTGCCTTACAGTCCTCATCCTCCCTATTACTACCCGCCCCCATATCCTGCTCATCACAGCACGAGCCTTGCACACTCAGTGCCCTGCATATGTAATGATTATGCCAAAGTCCTTTCTCAGTGGGAAACTGCAAGGTTATCCCTAATTAAGTAACAGCGCACTTTCCCTGGACAATGATCAGGCTTCTCTTCTTTCTCTACACATTCTGACCACATTTACTGAAATGTAATTTTGAACCTAATAAGAAAAAAACTGGGCTTCTACTTTGTATATCTTCCACTTTTCCTGTAATTCATTTGTATTGTAGTTTTCAAATACATAGCTATGGGACAGATTTTTAAAAATTCTTCGCCAAAGATAGTTTGCAAAGTGCTGCTCGCTACCACTCTCCTATAAACAAATTCAAACACAATGTGGTTCTAATTTAGCATCTTTCACCTGCTAAATAAAGGGGGTTGTATTACTAGGTCACCTATGAGATGCTCTAGCTCTGTAATTCTCCATGGATACAGTTCTAACTCACTTTTTTACAGGTGGATTGTTTGCTTTGTAAATTATCCAGGACAACATTTTATATTTATAGCTGACTTTCTGCTGCCTCTCACTGTTGCTCTGTATCATCTCTCCCACTGTGAGACTGTGTGAGCTTGAAGAATAAAGAGCATTTTAATAATAGCCTAATCAAGATGTAATTAAGAAAAGTAATTTGGCACCAAAATATTACATAACACACATCAAAGATTAAACTCTAGATATTTCTTGCCGTGTGCTATTTTGGATTATCACTCTCTCTTCCACTGAGATTTAAATATTTATGTTCCTGTCAGTATACTGAAGTATGCATTTCTTTATTAACCTCCTTGTGCTTGCCTTAGCATAATACACATGGTATTTTATTATAATCATTTGTGCAATATTCAGATTCCTTGCTAGACTTTTAGCTTCATGAGAATGGAGAGCATTCCTGTCTTAACACTGGATTCTAGTGTTTTACAGTCTCTGGTATATTAATAGATATCTGTTTGAATGAATGAGTGAATGGAGAATCAATAAAATTCTTGGAGGAAGAATCATGAAGTAGGCTTTCATTTCTTTATAATTATCTTACATATTTCTCGTTCCATTATCTTCCTCTTGCTCCATAATGTCTGAGCATAAATTCTATAGTTTGAACAGAATAAAAGATTTCATGTGTCTCTGTTCAGGGAGCCATAGTTACAAGATACCTTTTTCTGTTAATCTTTATTGTTGAAAATATTGCATATGTCCCCTTTTTCCACCCAATGACCCCTTCTAGCCGCCCCCACCTCCCACCCCAGGCCTTCACCACCCTATTATCCGTGTCCATGGGTTATGCATATATGCACAGAAGTTCCTTGGTTGATCTCTTCTCACTCACCCACCCACCCCTGCCTTCCCTCTGAGATTCAACAGTCTGTTCCATGTTTCTGTATCTCTGGATCTATTTTCTTCAACAGTTTATTTTGTTCATTAGATTCTACATATGAGTGAGATCATGTGATACTTGTCACAAGATGTCTTAATTCCTGAAACTCAGCTTTTACTAAAAATGCCCAATACCCAACGTAACTTTTACCTGCAAGTCTGTTTCTGATAGTGGTCAGCCTCTCTCATTTTCTGCCTCAATGAGACAGTAAATATCGCTTTTACATTTTTACTGATGGTCACATCGTATCTCTGCTGCTTGCTCTGCCTAAGCAGGGTTCTTTTTTGATTTTCATTTAGCCAGCAGGAACTTGAGAAGCAAAGTACTTTAAGAAATTACTTTCCTTCTCCAGAGAAAGTGCAGACAAGCAAGTTTCAAGAAAGATCCAATTAAAGAAGCCTCTGTCTCAGGAACTAGATCCCGAGTTGGCGCCCAAGGTCTGCATGTTTCACACATATTCTCTAACAAGGTCTCCCTTTCTTGACTCACAGCGCTTGCTGTAAGTAAGGGATGACATCACAATCCGCATCACTCCCAGGGCTTTCAAAACGCGCTGACCCTCTGAACGTTCCCAAGTGGCTTCTGTGTGTGCTGCTAGGGACCATCTGGCTAGCTGTAGATAAACAAGTTTCAACATATGGGCCATAACACATACATGGCTCGGCTCCACTGGTGCAGAAAATTACGAAAGGGTTGCTCTCTTGATATGAGAAACTCGTGCAAAAGCAGCAGCACCGTGGAGGGGAAGGCCTGCCCTAGGTGCACACAGGAGCGCTTAATCCCAGCTCCTCTCTCCCACTCACTGCGCATGTCACCTGATCACTCCAGTCTCAAGTTCCTCCCTGGAAATTGTAAAAAGGGTGTCAGGTCAACTCATTCCTCCTTTCCTGTCCTTCCTTCCTTCCCTCCTTTTTTTCCTTCCTCCCTTCCTATTAAAAATAGTTATTATATGCCTACTATACTGTGTGTGTGTGTGTGTGTGTGTATATATATATATATATATATATATATATATCCCAAGTTCAAAGGCTGTTAAATCGCATTGTTTACCCATATCTTCAGAAAAAAATCACTTCTACTGTCGTGGTAAACAACCTGCTTCCCTATTTATAATGGTCTGGCCCTCGAGCAACTTCAGCACAAAATTATAGCTAATTTGCCTACAAACGTCAGTTGGTCATAATAATCTGGCCACTCAGTGTATATGTTCCAAGCATGGTGCTAGGTGCTGGGCATACTGGTGAGGAGCACAGACATGGTCCCTGCCCCTGAAGAATTACAAAACAGTGATGAAGACAAACATTAAAGAAATAACTGAGAATAGGAAGGGAAAGCATGTATGAAGGTCCTGAGATGGGAAGGGGCGTGGCCTGTTTAAAATGCAGGACTTGTAAACATTTATATCCATTAAATTGTGAACTCACTTGACAATCAAAATGCTGACAGGAAAGTCCCACTATCTACAGATGGCAATTCAGACAATTATTATATTAGCATAAACGATTTGAAAAGCTGCCTGCATTTTCTATTCTTATTGTTGATCTCATCCCTGCAAACAATGAAGCTAATAAAATTGCATGAAAATATAATCATCAAAACCATATACAAGCATCTCAAGCACATGACACCATGGTAAATGCTTTAAGAATTACGAGAGTTTCAGGAAACCTAGGAACTCTGTGAGTGCTTCCTGTTTAATATTTACAAAATAAAACTAGAGAGTAAGGCAACCGTCCTGAAGTTCTCTCTTACAGGTCTTCTACTTCCCAAGCGTGGTTTCCCAATACTCGGTCTTTCCAGAAGATGACAGCTGACACCCGAGAGTGAGACAGACATTAGTCATAACAATCATGCTTGCTGAACAGTCATAACATATATGTAACATGTTTATTTCAGTGATTCTTCCCAATGCTTAGTGAAAACGAAAGCAGCGCCTTTGGCAAAACCTAGGCCATGGGTGAAATAGTATAAACTGTTTGACATTTTTCTCATTCTCTGTTTCCACCTTTCATTTGGCTGCCACCCACAGAAAGCAGAGTGGACAGTGCCAGCCCCTGTCACCAGAATGAAGCAGAGAGTTCCATCATCAGGTGTTCAAGTCAGGCAGGATAAAGAGCCCTGCTTAATAACTAATTAAACACATGAAGCAAACACACTTGAAGACCTAAATCAATCCAATTAACCAGAATGCTGTCTCATGGGCAGGAAAAACATGTCACTCTCTGCAACCTGCTATGGAACTTACTATACAACATGTGACAACCTGAGAAATGCCTGACTCCTATCTGCTTCACGCATCTCTGTGCCCTCCCCGTCCACAGTGCTGAAGGTAGCAAAAGCCCAATAAACGTTCATTAATCAAATCTAGAAATGAACAATCACTTAAAAAAAAAAACTTACCAAATGGATGAATCCTCACAGTGAAATGCAATTAACCACAGAACTGACTTAATTACCTGTGAGGATTTAGCAAATATAGGAAGCTTGCCCGTCTGCTGTTTGACACAGAGCAACATTTATGACATCAGACCTTCAATTAAAAATCATTACTTAAGTGGCTTTATTACAGCTACAAATAAACTTTATTTGATGTAACGTAATAAAACATTTTCAAATTTAACATTTACCTGACCGGAATTAATCATTTAAATTATGAATATAAGTATATACAGTCACTTGAGCAAATGTGCGGCTCAGGAATTTGTACAGCTTGGTCTGAAAGGACAGGCCCCACCTCCCCTTTCAGGAAAGGCAGGCCCTTCCCTGTGTCTGGCAAGAAGCAATGTCAATGAGAGTTGGAAGAAATCCATAATCCACGCTGGAATTCCACATTATTCTGGGAGGAAACAGCTACATTTATGGTAGGAAAATAATATTCTCTTGCAGTTCTCTTTTACCAAATGAAGGTCTATATTTATTTCTTCTCCTTCGAGGGACTCTTCTGATCTACTGTCTTCCTATCTCCTTCGCACCTAATATTACAGTTCCATTACAAAAACAGACTCCCCACAAAGGGACCTTTTCTGTTCTGCTGTCTGCCCATAATGCTTACCACTGTAGGGAGGAAAACAGAATCGGCCAGGCACACATTCGATTTAAGATACAGAGAACACAAAACAAATTGGAGCCTTTACCAATAGTGAGTGTCCCAGGTGACCCCCGACTCACACAATCCAGTTTTAACACAAGGCAGCTCAACGAGAATTAACATATCGATGCTCCATTTCCAGATGCATCACAACCTTTCACGGAAACCCCATTATTTCGTCACTTCTGCCCAAAAAGCACAGCTATGGGCCAGCCTTGGGCCCATGGCACCAGCGTGTAATGAGAGTCCAAAGTTCAGGTTCAGTGCCAACACCCAGGTTAACATCCAGTGCAGATAGGTAACAAGTCCTCATGGAAGGAGTCCCCTCACCTCTCAGAACCCCTCGGAGGAAGTGTGAGCACAAGAAAAAGCTTTATTCGGGTTTTCTGACGCTCTCCATCCTGAGATCTGTTCCTGAGTTATACCGTAACAGTAAGCCAGTTAACAAAGAAAGTGCGCCGTGGGCAAGTCACAGGGACCCTGCGGAAAAGCCAAACGGTTTGACAGAAGCTTAAAACAGACACTGCTCTGGGAAATCATTTGTATGAGCTGATGACGGGATTCTGTTTTCTAACACGGGACATGCAACATAGTCAACACTATGCTTACTGCAGTTAGCTTGGAAAAACACCCATCTGTCCTACAACAAAATTAACTCTCTCTCTCGTGAACGGATTCCTGAATATCCACCGCAATGCCTAGGCTCGGACTTGCATGGACTTGGACATTCGTAAAGCACCAGAAACTGTTTCCTTTCTGGAGCTCAGCTCAGTTCGGGAGCTTACTGCCGAGCTGGTCTGCCTGTCTTAAACTGAGAACTATTTTCATTTGCACACAGTAGCACTGATCCACAGGGAACAAACAAGGAGAGGTCACCAGCTCCCTCATGATACGCGTGTACACCAGATCGCCCTGCTTGTCACGTTTGAACCAGCCCAAGAAAACCCGGAAGCAGCGTTTCAGAGTCTCAGCACATGCTTTCGTTCTGTTTCCACCTCTGTCTTGCCTTGTTTTGTTCGTCTCCATGATTTTGCTTTTGATCATGAATCATGGCTTTTTTTTCTACAGCAGTCAGACTTTTGTCTATAAGGGAAGAGAGAGAGAGAAGACAAGAAAATGACTTAGCAGAACCATAAATGTTTTCCTTTTGCGGTGGGTGGATTTAATTTTTACAGCATTCAGTAATTGGAAGCATTTGTGGCTTCTAAGGGGTGATGAGCATCTCTAAAGGGAAAACGTGCTGCAGCTCTTTTAATAAATTTCCTAACTATTCTAAGTTGCCAGGGCCTTAATATAGCTGCAAATCAGCCCCAGATAACCCATTTAGAAATTCACTTTTATAATACAGCCGTAGCCAAAAATGGCTCTACTCGCAAAAATCCTTGCAAAATATGACTGCGCTTGCCCATCTTGAAAGGAATAATGATGACTACTGATGAGAAGTCCTCACTATAGCAGGGTGCGGTATAGTAAGCCATGCGTGCAGAGACCAAGGAACCCCACCTCGCCTCCCTCATTGCCTTCCTCCCAGATTCACAGAAGTGGCGTGAGTCGTGGACAAGGAAAAGTCCATGGCCAAGGAAATGCCTCCTCCTTGGTGTAGTGCCACCTTCCCTCTAGATCCACACCCCTCTCCGTCTGCACCTTCACAGGACTCACTTTACCAAGCTATATCCTTGTACTTGAGAGCCAGGTCTATGAGGTTCCAGGGCCGGCAGTGTGCTCCCAGACTCTGCCTCCCCGTCCCACTGAAAGTGCCCCCCTCACTTGGCTTCCAGGACTCCAAATGGGTTTTCCCAGGGACAGGATCAGTTTCTCCACAAGACACCGTCCCTCGCTTTGCCCCTCACTTCACACAACGGCACCTGAGGAGAAGACTGGGGCCACACTTCAGCTCAGACCCTGGCTCCGGGCTCCGGAGTACCTTGGAGCAGGCACTGGGCACAGGCCGTGTCCCTGCTGGTCCTCCACAGGTACTCCCAGCCCAGCCGGGGCGCTGCCTCTTCTCAGGAGGGGAGACTGCGCTTCCTCTGCAGCTCTCAGCAGCTCAGGACTGTCCCTCCAGGCCCCAAGCCACAGGACCACCTCGGAATCTCCTGTCCCTCCCATCCACCTGCTAGTCAACTTCCAAATGTCCACACATCCTTGGCCTCTTTCCTAGTCTCAACACCACCCTCCTGTGTGGGCCCTCCTGACAAAGACCTCCTTCTCCCACAGTGAACCCGTTTACACTACAGTCCTGGTCTCACTCCTACCAAAAACCTTCATCTACCCTCCCATCCTGCCCACCTGGCCCTCCATGCTGACCCCAATCCACCCAGCTTCCAGGCACCACTGAAGACACGCCCCATCCACATCTGTGCACCTCAGTCCATACTCTCCCCTCTGCTTCCAACAGCCCCAACCCACCTCCACCCCTGCCATCCCTTCTTGTTAAAATCTTACTCTCATTCAAAACCCACCCGGATGGTCACCTCCTTCATAATTCCCACCATGGGTATTTTCGTCTAAGATACGCGCCCCCGCCCCCCCACCCCCGCCCAAGGCTTATTTTTCTTCTGTACCCACAGCCTGATTTTACTTTGTGCTATGGGTATTTACTAGCTATTAGAAAGTCGTTTTAGAGAAAGCAAGAGAGGCCAATTGCCTACCTTTCCTACTTTAAAGAGTTTTGCCGAGTTAAAATGTAGGCAACTGCAAGGCATGACGCAAACAAGCTATTATTACTACTAACTGAGGATTTCATAAAAATAAAGTGCTGAATTCCAGCTAGGTAATGGTGAGGAAAACACTACTATGGCGGGGGTGGGGGTGGGGGCTGGGGGGCGGGAAATACCCAGGAAATAGCAAACTTTTTGGTTTGTTTTGTCTTTAAAGCAACGCCCCACGACAGTTATCCAGGGTGTCAGGGGCCTTGGTGCTTCTTCCCAGTTTCCACTGGGCCCCACTGCGTTTTCCATTTCTAATCACTGGTGGGATCACCCTGAGCTCCAAAGCTTGAGCACAAACCCTGGAGCAGCGCCGTGAACTCACTGCAGGATCCCAGGGTCACTCCACTATGACCAGCCACGGCCACTGACCCGGATGAGAGAGTCTCTTTGGAAAGACAATACGTCACCAAGCAGAAGAAGGGAGACGGAAAGGAAGAGCTACTTCAAAACAATCTCATGAAATTCTTTTCTATGGAATGACTTTAGAAACTGCTTTTCAATATCACTCACAATAACAGTGTCAAAGAACGAAAGCCATCAAAAGGTGTTATTTATAGTGATTCGAAAAAATCCATAAAGTCAACAAATTAAAGCGAGAGAAAAAATATCTCCTTATATCACATTTCGTTCTATAGTACCAGTATTTGAATACTTGTGAAAAGGGCACAAAGATGATAGAATAGCGAATTAAAGTTACCAGTGAAGTGTTCATGCCTTTCCCTCTCTTCCCTCCCTACCCCAAGGAAGATTCGCAAATGCCTGCTGGACTCCTGAGCCTCTTCTTATGCTGACAGAGAAAATGTGGAAGAATGGGCAAATATTTTAAAGTAACAACACATAGGCTAATAGATTGTTTACACAGGAAAAGAAAACTATTATGTAGGAGGAAAAATAGAGCCAAGGAGGAGGAATTAGGGGGGAAAGTAAAAGAGACTTAGAACCCAATCAGCCAGAGAGGGAGGAAAGGCTGCAGAGACCAGCAGGAGGAGCCCTGAGTCTCTAGGCTGGCCCAAGAAGTGTGAGCGCTAATGAGATGGGTAGGGAAAGGAAGGGTTCTAACAACGTTTGCTGTGAGCTATGGATTGGACACCACTTCATCCTTCCAGAGACTCAAGTAGAGTTAGTTACTAGTTGTTTGGGGTTATCTGCCCGGTGTTTACGTGAATCCAACAGTGCAGAGCATGGATTGGGTGGGGTATTCTGGTCACCAGTCTTTTAATCTACCACCACACCACATCCACTCACTGAACCATGAGATTCTAGAGGCAAGAACTGTCACATATTCATCTTTCCATTGCCTGCCATGCCTGGCACCGGGCCTTGTACATGGTAGGCCCTTGGATATTTCTAGAGAAAACAAGCCATTGAAAAGACGCTTTACTGTCAGTCTCTACCTTCCGATTCATCCCATATGGTGTCACTGAGTCAGTCTTCACTGCTTTGATGATTCCGGTCTCCTGCTTGCAGAGATCCCATCAATGGATGACTACTGTCCACACTAGGGTTTCTCAACTTCAGCACTGCAGACATTTGGGGCTGAGAAAGTGTTTGTAGGGGGCCTGCCTGCGTATTACAGGATGGTTAGCAGCATCCTTGGCATCTTCCCACCAGAGAGATATCAGTAGGTATTCCCCTTATCTAGGTATAACAACCAAAAATGTCTCCAGAAATTTTCAAATGTCCCCTGGGAGCAAAATTACCCCTGGTTGAGAACCACTTGTCTACAATAAAATCCAAAGTTCTTGGGCCTGGAATGGAAGACACCTCAGAATTTAATTTTATTCTAGCTTTCCACTGTGATCTCCAAATCTTTCCCCACACTAATACTTACCTTCAGCCAGACCGTCCTTTGCATAAGGTCCCACTCTACACGAAATGTCCCCTTCACCTGGAAAGCCATTTCTACTCTCCTTGAGTTATAAATGCTTTGACAACCTTCACAGACATACTCCAGCCCATAGCCTTCAGGAAGTCTTCCCTGATAAGGGTTGGGTCAACTCTGAGTTATTATCCCCTCCTTTGAATCCTGTAGCTTTTCCTGTCTCCATCTTTCCTTTGTTCTTATTACAAAAACGTGTGTGTGTGTGTTTATATACAGTCTGTCCAATAGAAACATATGTACTAAGACAGGAAAGAAAGCATGGATTTCCCATGTCCTCCTCAGTGCATGGCACAATTATAAACAAGAATTTAAAAAAGAGCATGCTCACATTGGCACAGATTAAAAAGCTGCCTGCTATGGAATTTTTAATATACTTCTTTAAAAAATGCTTTTCTTTATTTTAAATAAAGAAGAAGGAAGAGGAAGAGAGACACAGAAACATCGATAAGAGAAATCGACATTGTTTCGTCATCTGCAGAACAGAGATGAAGAAAACCAATCTCTTATATCGTTTTAAGGATTAAGTGATATAATTCACAGAGTCTCAGCATCATGCCTGAGAGTGAGTCTTCAATAAATGTGGGAAACTGTTATTTTAAACTGGAAAACCTATTGTGTGACATTTGAAAAAGTAGCATTTTGTGGGCTGAGTTATGTGGGAATCATTAGCTAAAATCATTGCTATTCCCAGGTTCTTTGGCTGTGTGGGAGGCATACAAACACAATGGTGTTTTCTAGTTTAGGACCGCCTTTGCTTTTTCCTAGTTTCTACACTGGCTACTTAACTGGACCCTCTGCCACCAGCCTTTCGCACTGCTGCCAGAGACTTTCCTCAAACACAGGTCTCTGCATGTTACTCCTGAGAACTGGCTTTCCTGTTCCTGCACTAAACAATCCTGGGGGGAGGCAAAATATCCAGCTACTTGTCCCAGAAAGGAGCTGCTTCCAAAAGATAAGGCTTCTGATTAATCTATACAGCTTACTTATCAAGACTAATAGTTTGCTCATTAATACTGGCTTCAAGGCCCTCGCTTAGCTACACCCACCAATCCAAAGCTATTATGTCATAAACTCTGCCCAGTCCTCACCAGTTTCCCACCTTAACATCACCTAGCCCAGTGGTCGGCAAACTCATTAGTCAACAGAGCCAAATATCAACAGTACAACGATTGAAATTTCTTTTGAGAGCCAAATTTTTTAAACTTAAACTATATAGGTAGGTATATTGTTATTAACTTAATTAGGGTACTCCTAAGGCTTAGGAAGAGCCACACTCAAGGGGCCAAAGAGCCGCATGTGGCTCTCGAGCTGCAGTTTGCCAACCACGGAGTCCTAGCCCAAGCCCTAAGACTCCATTATATCCTTACTTTCTCCATCTGAAAAACTACAAAGACTCTGTTAAGAAAGTATCTTCCCAATTTAGCTTACTTTTATGAACAGGTTTTCCCAATGGTCTTCTTAGAGAGCTGATGGCTACAATCCCCAGCTCAAAAATACTCAACAGCTCTTCACTGACTGCAGACTGAAATCATTTGACAAAAAGTGTTGCATAACAGCTAATAGCCTGTGCAATGGGGTGATTCATCCCATATCTACCAGTTAGAGGATATGTGGCCTTTGGTAAGTTCCTTTGTGTCCCTGAGCCTCAGTTATTCTTCTGAAAACTGGGGATGCTAGAAGAACCTACTTTACAGGTAGAATGGTGGATAGCATGTGACAGGTGTTCAATAATTGTTAGCCACCATTACTTTTATTGATTATGTATTATGTATCAGGTACTATACTAGATCTGACTATGACATAGCTCCTTCCCTGAAGGAATTTAGAATCTGGTGAGCAGACACTAGTGGTCAATTCAATAAGAATCTTAGAGTCCTGGAGAGATCCCTGGGGATATAGGTTGGTCATATTCTAGAACTCAAAATTGTATTCTTTAAAAAAAATGTGTTTAACTTTTTTATTGTGAATAATTTCACATGTACAAAGGATGATATGTAATAGATGGGAAAATAAATACCTGTGAAGCTACATCCAGGTTCAAGAAATTAGCATGTTTATAGGCTTATAACTTTGAGTGCCCAGGACAAGAAATTATGATGTCTGGTTTCCCTCATCTCGACTAGGGGATTTTCTGTCTGCTGCATTCTAGTGAAGAAAGATAACAGGATGATTTCCTAGATAGAAGTTTTCAGTCGTCTGGGGAAGCATCCCAGGTTTGGAGTCTCTGGTTCCTATTGTAAACCATGAGGGCACCTTGAGCAGGGCTGCTCCCCCGAGATAGCCACCTTCATTACACACAAAAGAGTCTAATACATGAAAAGCAGATAGAAGTAAGATTCAGGCGATGTGGGTTACACCTAGTGGTGCCACAGGCTCACTGTGAGACATCCGTCACATGAAGAGCACGGACAAGATGACTGGGAAGGTCCCTCTTAGCTCCAGTGGCCCACAGTTCTCTGGTCTGTTCCTTCTTGCCAAGTTTAGTGAGGAACAACACGTCCTCCTCTCGCAGGATCTCTGTCACCAACACCTTCCATCTCCTCATTCCAGTGTCTTTCCCCTCAACTCTCAAACATGAAGATGTCTCCTCTACCTCTACTTTAAAGCAAAATCTTCATTTGACCTGCTGACAACTCTAATTACAATAGTGTCTCTTACCTTCTTTACAGTGACAAATTCATTAACATGTGGGTTACACGGGAAAGGTCCATTTGCTTAGCACCATTGGCCCTTTGCAATCCTTTTCAGATCCCAGCTCCCTATGCAATTGCTTCCTGCAAAGTCACTAACGCCCCCCCTAGACCAGCGGTCGCCAACGGGTGGTCCATGAGGTCCGAAAGGTTGGCAACCGCTGCTCTAGACAAACTCAACCACCCGCTATCAGTTCTCAATTCTTATGACCGGCCACACTTCCTAAAACTAGCTTTTAGCCTGTGTGAACCTGCTTCCTTTATTCATCAGTAAAGGATGAGGTCATCAAAAAAATTGTACTGGATGTAAGAGTAAGAGCAATGAAAATGATAATGTTATAATTTCTGAAGATGTAAGGACATGATTTGGATGGTATTAATGGAGACAGGAAGAGAAACAGCACCGTCCTTGTCATCAAGCATATCAATTGCAGTTCATCAGCAAATCAGTCTCGTCTTCCAAACCAACTAAGTTCCTATCTTCGATTTTCAGAATTCTGTTGGTAGAGGACTGGAATTTATAGAATTCTGAATTCGTATCTGATCTGCTTAGCTTAGAAAATAAGCTAGCTACTGATTCAGGAAGCTTTCTGAGATACACTTCAAGAAGCCCCAGCATGGATGGATCTGGAAAATATTATGCTAAGTGAAATAAGCCAAACTGAGAAAGACAAGTATCACATTACCTCACTTATTTGTGTAATCTAATGAACAAAATGAATTGACCAACAAAATAAGACCCGGAGCATGGAGGCATGGAACAGACTGACATACCTCGATGTGGGGTTGAGGAGACGAGAAGAGATAAACCGAAGAATTTATATATTTACATGCTTAGCTCATGGACACGGGCAATAGGGTAGTAAAGATCTGGGTGGGGTAAATAGGGGTGGGGGTGGGGGGAAATGGTAGATATCTGTACTACTATCAAATATCCTATGTAATAAAGAGGTAATATGCACATTAACCCTCACTCCATCATGCCATCACAAGATGGCTGCGTCCACAGCAGAGGCGGGGTTCCTGTAACAAGCCGTAATGAGCGATCAGCAGGGACCTGTGGCTGCGTGGCACTGGGCTGGGGAGGGGGACCTGAGGCTGTACCCCCCACCAAGTGGGGCTTGACGGGGGACCTCAGGCCATGCCCCTCACCCGATGGGGCTTGATGGGGGACCTCAGGCTGCGTCCCCTGCCCTGGCTCTGGGCCAGGACCTCAGGCTGCACCCGCCACCCTGGCTCCGGGTCCGGGGACCTCAGGCCATGCCCCCGCCCCTGCGCCAGGCCAGGTGACCTCAGGCCGCACCCGCCACCCTGCGCCAGGTTGGGGGACCTGTGGCCATGCCCCCAGCCCTATGGGTTTTGACGGGGAATCTCAGGCCGTGCCCCCCCGCCCTGCAGGGGTGATGGAGGACCTCAGGCCATGCGCCCCGCCCCTGCACCTGGCCAGGGGACCCGAGGCTGTGCGCCCAGCCCTGCAGGGCTTGACGGGGGACCTGAAGCTGCGCCCCCTGCCCGTCGGGGCTTGATGGGGGTGGGGCCGGCTGGGTCTGGATCTTGCCCAATGGGGGTAGGGTTGGCCAGGTCTGGGTCTCGCACGATTTCGAGGTGCATGTGGATGGGCAGGGACTTGATTCTGGGTCCCGCGGCATAACCCAGACTCTGACAGGAGGAAGATTTTCATATACATTTTACTAATTTTCTTTCATCTCTGACACTTCTATTATAGAGAAAGGGCAAATAGCAATATTAAAATATTTCCCCTAATTAATTCCCTTTTAATGTGCACGAATTTCATGCGCCAGGCCACTAGTATATATATAAAGAAGCTCCATAAAAGGGCTGGGGAGACAAAGGAAAATAGTGATAAATGACCTTACAGCACAAACTCGGCTCTGTCGGGCCTCTCCGCCAGCTTCAGGGCCTCGTGCATGCCCGCAGCCGAGAGCTTGCGGTTGATATTCCGGTACTGGCACTGGAGCAGGCTGCGATAGGTGGTCCGCAGGTCCCGGTTGAAGAAGGCATATATAAAAGGGTTAATGAGAGAGTTTGCATAGCCCAGCCACAGAAATGTCCTCTCCACCCACAGCGGGATGCAGCTGCAGGAGGTGCCGCAGATGAAGGGCCTGGCGGTCGAGAGGAGGAAGAAGGGCAGCCAGCACACGGTGAAGGCCCCGACGATGATCCCCAGGGTGGTGGCTGCTTTCTGCTCCCTCTTAAAGATGGAGATGTTTTTCCTCTCGTGTTTGAGGAGTCTCGAAAGGTTGGCGCACTCCTCCACCTCCTTCTGCAGCTTCACCATGCCGTTCAGGGAGATGATGCTGTCGGGCTCCGGGTGGCGCGGGAAGCCGGGGAACTTGTGTTTGGCGGCGCTCTTGCGGGCGGCCTTGTAAATCTGGTAGTACATGAAGAGCATGACCGACATGGGGATGTAAAATGCCACTGCGGTAGAGTAAATCGTGTAGCCGAAATCCTGGCTGATCAGGCATACCTTGTCGTCGTTGACGTTCTGTGCCCATCCAAAGAGCGGGGGTAAAGTGATGGAGGCGGAGAGAAGCCAGACGGAGAGGATCATCTTGGCCATGCATTTCCCATTCTGCCGCACAGGGTACGTGAGCGGCCTTGTGATCCCGAGGTACCTAGGAAAGAAGTGGAGAGAGATCCTGTGACCACAGTGACCACATGTCCTGGACTAGGAACTACCATAAGCTAGATGCTACGCCTTAGACCTAGCAGCTCCATTCCTCACCACAGCCTTTCTAGATAGGCATTTTGCAGAAAGGTAAACTAAGGCTCTGAGATGTTAGAGATGTTGCCTATTTTATTCCAGGCCACAGATAAGCAACAGGCACTGCCAAGATTCCGTCTATGAGCCCTCTGCCTGTAATTGCTACTCCATGCTCCTTTTCATACTTTGTAGCTTCTTGTCCTCCATGTAGTCAATGAACTAAAGATTAAACATCCACCCTCCCCGCCATGACCACTCCCACAAAATCTGCCAGGAACAAAATGTCAAGCCTGATGTAGGATGTTGTGACACATCCTCACGAATTAAGCAAGGTCTACCACACTCTGATGTTTTACACCCACTGCTCGGCTGTCTTATTTCAGGCTAGCTTTTAACTCATTTTAACTGCTCCTTTGCACTGTAGCGAAAGAAATTCTTTAAGATTACAGAGATGTGTGAGATCTTTATACAATCCTAAGGTTTGGGGATGCAAAGTAGCAAGTGATCACTCTTCTACCCCCAGAAAATTCTCACATAAGAGTAATGTCAGAGGAACAATCTATAAAACAAAAACAGCCTGCCCCATCTCTCCTCTCTTGAGAAGGCTCATGAGAAAGAGCACAATTCTGAAAAATATTAGGTAAACCCAACATTTTTTTCTGGGCTTAATTCTACACAGAGAATAAATATATTTATCTGTCTCTATTATCAAGGATTTATCAGCAAACAGAAAACATATAGAGTGAGACATTTGCCAAATGCTTAATCATGTTCATCTTTCTGGATTTGTTTTCTCCGCTGTATTTAACAGTCTTGGCTTCTATTTTGGGAAAGATGCAAAGAGCACTTAAGAAGTCAAGACAGGTGAAAGCTGGTCATTTTGCTGGTTTGCTTTTTCACTTCATTTATGTATATAAAAGATAGAGTCCCCCAACTTCCCAACAGGTTATTTTCGGAATGTCTGTCAGTTGGTAGGTTGAAATTTTAAAAATAATTATATTTGTGCTAGAAATATCCTCACATGTTACATAAGTTTAAACTCTCCTACAAAAGTCAAAACTCATCCTCTCAGAATGAAAATGAGCATCATTGCAACACTTACAGGGCAAAATTGAAATATATAGTAAAAAGAAATGAAACAGACTGGCTTATCCATTCCTTCAATAAATATTCATAGAGCTCCTTCTATATGCCAGGTGCTATTTTAAAGGTCGGGGATACAGCAGTGAATAAAATCTTGGAAGCAGGCCCATAGCACGTGGGGAAACCATGGAGGGTTGAACGGGAGGCCTGAGCCTGGTGGTGATGTTGAAGGAACGCCTCATCCCTTCCAAGGATCCAGGTGTTAGTAGCATCCGTTCTTCATTTCACAACCTCTGCCTCCCCTTTTCCTTGGTAAAGCTGACCCACAGGCATTATCCCTAGGTTTATCAGCGGTAATTAAGATTATGTCTTGGCTCTCAAATAGGATGATGGGAAAGAGAGAGGTTTTCCTGGAGTGTGAGAATAAGAGCTGAAAAGGAAGGGGGAAAGGGAAAGGAGGTAGCAGTGAGAGGGGAAAGAGGAAAGAGAGAGCAAGAGAAGGAAAATGTGAAGTAGACTGTGCCTTCTGTGGAACTATCTGATATTACCTGAGTTTTAAACAATGGGGAAAATTTTAAGAAAATATATTTTTTAAAAGAGTAAATGAGGAAACCCCTGAAGAAAGGTGTTAGAAATGACTGGAAATCCACGATTAAGCTGATCTCTGCCCAAAGACTGAATGCAGACAGTCCAGTAAGGGAGAAGAAAAAGAAAAGGTTCCCTTTCTTTGCTTTGGTTCTGAAGCTCTCTCTCTCCAGTTGGAACTCCTTTGCAGACGTCTCTCTTTGGACCTGGTCCTTGCTGTCTATCAACTCCTGGGGATATAGCCTTTCTGGCTCCTTCCTTATTTCCCAGCTTCCACAAGGCAGCCTTTGTCAGGATGTAGACTTATCTTATCTTCTCTCTTTGCCTGTTGCTTCAGGCAAAAACTGCTTGTTCCCAAGCCTGAATCTGGCTTCCAGGATACCAATCCAGACTGGAGGTTCACCAGGAAGAGATTAATTTATACAGTTCCCCAGGTAGCCACAAGATGGCATTATCCGACCAGACCATCTTTCACCTACTTACCTAGGGATGGTGGGAAGTTAGGCGCATTTTGGAAAGAGGAAGTAGGATTAAGCACAACAAGAAATTAAGTTATATTTCATTTGTGAGGTTATATCAAAAAAAATGAGCAAGCCTAGAAATCACAACCTGGTAACTCCAGTTTTCCTTTCCATCCTTCACTTACTCAAACAGGAACCAGTATCTACAGACTTAATTAAATCCAGCCTTTCTGCAGTTCACATAAATGATACAGAATTCACAAAGTTAATTAACCCTGAGAGATTCTTTGAGTACCAAAGACATCTAAGAATATTAAATAATCTAACAAGGACAGCATGCTTATTCATTCTAATATACTTAGTCTGACATATTACTTAGTCTGACATATTACATTTCAATGATGTAAGATTGGCCCATATTTGGTCTTTCCTAAATGTACAAATTAAATTCCATTAACTCTCCTATTTTATGCCCCACTCTCTAATCGTCTCAAGTCATGCCCTTCAGTAAGGAAGTTATATTTACTTCATTTGCTTCCTGGGTACCACTTGGTGAGACTTTTGTTAGCTAAAATCAACCAAAAGATGATTAGAAAAAAAAAAGTGTTCATTAAATTGTCTGGAAATAAATAAACAAAAGTCAGTAGTTTTTTAATTAACAATTTACAAATATTATAGAAGGAAATCATTCCATTCACAGCAAAATCTATCAAAATGGCCATGGCCTAAATAAGCAAACATAAAATGCTACCAAAAAACCTGAGAGAATGCTTGAATGGGGGGGGGCGGAGGCACGACTTTTTTAAAATAAGAAAACCCAGTATTATAAAAGTGCCAATTTCCTCTCAATGAATCTAAAATTATACAACTTGGTTGAAAAGCAGGACTTTTGTTAACTTGACCAAATGATTTTTAAGTTGATCAAGTAAATATGAAAAAATAGAAAACCTGAAAATGAATTAAAATGAAAAAATATTTATTCTATAAATAGTGTAAAACCACAGAAATAAAATCTCAATAAAAATCATTCAAAAACAGACAGATAGATCAATAGAACAGGATAGATCCCAGAAATAGATTCGAATATATAAGGAAATCTATATATATAAAAGCCTAAGCGACCATCATAATCAAACGAACGACCGAACAGGCTGCATGGGGTGACCAGGCCGGCAGGGGGGTTAGTGAGGGACGACCAAATGACTGAACAGCAGGCTGCATGAGGCGACCAGGCCGGCAGGGGGTTAGTGAGGGACAACCAAACGACTGAGCAGCAGGCTGCAAAGATGGTGGCGCCCACAGCCAATAAGGAGAGAATATGCTAATTGACTGCCACACCCTCAAAGATGGCGGCACCCACAGCCAATAAGGAGGGAATATGCTAATTGGCTGCCATGCCCTCAAAGATGGCAGCGCCCACAGCCACAAGACGGCCGGCAGGGGAGGGCAGTTGTGGGCGATCAGGCCGGCAGGGGAGGGTAGTTAGAGGTGACCAGGCCAGCAGGGGAGGGTAGTTAGGGACAATCAGGCCGGCAGGGGAGGGTAGTTAGGGGCAACCGGGCCAGCAGGGAAGGGCAGTTAGGGGTGACCGAGCTGGCAGGGGAGGGCAGTTGGGGGGAACCAGACCAGCAGGGGAGGGCAGTTAGGGGTGACCAGGCCGGCAGGGAGGGCAGTTGGGGGCGATCAGGCAGGGAGTGGTTAGGGAGTGATCAGGCTGGCAGGCAGAAGTGGTTAGGGGCAATCAGGCAGGCAGGCAGGCAAACGGTTGGGAGCCAGCAGTCCTGGATTGTGAGATCTCCTGTGGGATCGGGCCTAAACTGGCAGTCAGACATCCCCTGAGGGGTCCTAGATTGGAGAGGGTGCAGGCTGGGCTGAGGAAAAACCCCCCTCCCCCAGTGCATGAATTTCGTGCACCAGGCATCTAGTTTATTGTAAGAAGACTAGAAGCCTGACATTTGTGCACTGGAGTTGGGGGGGGGGGAGGGGGGTCCCTCAGCCCGGCCTGTGCCCTCTCACAGGGGAGTGGGCCTAAGCCAGCAAGCAGACATCCCCTGAGGGGTCCTTAGTGCTGCCGCCACTGCCGCTGTGCTCACCAGCTTTGAGCCCAGCTTCTGGCTGAGCGGCGCTCCCCCTGTGGAAGCACACTGGCCACCAGGGGGCAGCTCCTGCATTGAGCATCTGCCCCCCTGGTGGTCAGTGCGTGTCATAGCAACCAGTTGTTCCACTGTTTGGTCGATTTGCATATTAGCCTTTTATTTATATAGGATGAGTCATTGAATTAGTAGTAAAAGACTGTATATTCATGAACTCTCACAACTGTATGTATACACACACACACACACATATATGTATATTTATATATACGTAACTTGGCTGTTGCAAGCAATTCTGAGGTGAACATAGGAGAGCATATGTCTTTTCAAATTATTGTTTTGTTTTGTTTTTCAGATAAATACCCAAAAGTGCAATTCTTGTTTCATATGGTAGTTCTATTTTTAATTTTTTGAGGAATCACCACACTGTTTCCTGTCACTAGTGGCTACGCTAGTTTATAATCCCACCAAAAGTGCATGAGGGTTCACTTTTCTTTACTTCCTTGCCAATGCTTATTATTTATTGTCTTTTTGATAATAGCCATTTTGACTATTGTGAAATGATATCTCATTGTGGTTTGGATTTGCATTTTCCTGATGATTAGTGATGTTGAGCATCTTTTCATTTGTCTGTTGGCCATCTGTATGTCTTCTTTGGAGAAATGTCTATTCAGTTCTTTTGCCCATTT